GGCTGGATCCAGCCTCGTGTCACCTCACTGCTGTTGGCAACCAGCCAGGAGGGACAAGTATACAGGTGGAGGCATGGAGGCACTCACAGCTCGTATGGCCTTGTCCACATCCCCAGAGGCAACATCCTGAAACTCAACCCAGCGATGGTCTGCCAAGCTATCATCCTGTGTCTCGGCTGGATCTGCAAAGGTGGAGTCCAAGTCCGACCGAAACCGCGCAACTTTGTCCGCTAAGAACTGGACATATTCCTCAGCCTTACCCTGCAGGGGGTCCCCCGTATCCCTCCTATTTAGGAGGGAGCGGGTTATCCTAAACCATTGGAGAAGTACTTGTTCTAAGCTTTATTTTTTATTTTTTTGAAAGGGTGATGGGTTAACAATTGATTCAATAATATACTCATTTGATTTTCCAGTCTATTTTTCTTTGTTTGTTTCTTCATTTCTCTGCATGCCAATTCTTTGCTAAAGGGAGTTTGCTGCAGGCAAGAACAACAACATTTAAAAACATGTAATTTATTCATTTTATTACATTTTTAAAAGCATAGCCAAAGGCCACAGAAGGTGCATAATCCCTAAACCAGAAATCTGTGCTGCTCTCATTCCACTGCTTGCTCTGGGATTTCGGGATTCATGTAGTTCATGAGTTGTCCACCCCTGCTCTATAGGATTGGTACTATTTATACTTTGAAATATTTGCTTATTTATTAGATGTAAATCCTGCTTTTCTTGAGAACTCAATGCAATGTCAGTCTGATCTAGTGGTTAAGGAAGTAGGCTAGAAAGTGGGAGGCCATGAGTTTTAGTTCCACCTTAGGCACGAAAGCCAATTGGATGACCTTGGGTCAGGCCCTCTTTCTCTTTCTTGGGGCAACCTGATTCACTTCATGGGGGTTGCTGTTGTGAGGAAAATAGGAGGAGGAAGGTGTGTTGGATATTGCTTTATTTTATCCGCCATACCAGCAGAAATAACAATGTTAGATCTATTTGGCCAAATAGTTTTAGTTAGATTTGAACCTGTGTTTTCTTGATCTCAACCCATTACCATAATCATTACACCGTAGAACCAGAGGTGGGTTGTTCCCGGTTCGATCTGGTTTGGCTGAACCGGTAGTGGAATTCAGGCCTGGGTTGCAGAACCGGCAGCGACCCAGGCCTGCCATGTCCCCGAACTGGTTCCCTCACCGCTGCTGGGCTGCCACCATTTTAGTTTTTAGTGACTGCCCATGTGCAGTTCACTCTAAATTGTTCTACGCATGCACAAAGAACAATTTACATTGAACAGTGAGCACATGTGCATTGCGTGCGGGTTGCAAACCGGTAGTAAAACT